CCAGGCAAGAGCTCTCCTAGCACGGGGCATGGGTGGGTGGCTGCACAGGAAGCTTTTGCTTAACCATCACCTTCAACCTCTTGGGTTTTACAGTCTTTCTGCGTGGCTCCTTTGTTCCACCTATGCTGGTGGAAGTCAACCCCTGCCTCAAGCAGCTCATCCCAGGAGGGAAAAGTCCCAGGAACTAAAGTGGGATCATAAGTGCAATGACACCATGGTTGGTCTCAGAGGAGACCAAATTTACCACACATGCAACACAGTCTGTCCAAACCCACACAATAACTCCAATGTGTTGCACTTGGTTGCACGATGGATGCCATGCCCAGGTTTTGTTTGATGCTTAAAAGTCCTGACTACACAAGGGAGAAACTGTGTGCTGACTTTCTTAACCTGAGACTGCAACACTGGGTTTTCAGACCTAAGCTAAGGGTTGCCACCTCCTGCTGGTGCATTAGGCAGGGCTTGGGCTCAAGGGTCTACCCTGTCCATAACACAGACCTGGCCAAATAGGTGGACAAACACCTTAGGACACATACAGCATGCTTGCATGTTTCCCCTGACCACTCTCCACCCTCCTCATCCATGGCCATACACAACAAAAAATCATTTACCTCCTCTAAAAAGCCTTACAAATCAATTTAATATTAGTGCAGAGAAGTGTCATGAAGGAATGTGCTTGGTCTCAAAATTCAGGTGCACTTGTAGTAGGATTTTTTTGTTTTTTCTTCTTGGCTGACTTGAACTGTGATTATGTTATGCTTTAGTAGCTCAGAACAAAAATATGAATTAATTAGAAAGTAAGATATCTAAGTAACACCAGAGACAATAACATGTCTCAGCTAGAAAGAACTTTGACCAAATTCCAAACTAAAGGTAGGCAAAATGACAATATATTCCACAGTGCAAAATTGGTAGACTAAATTTAAAGTTACCTTTCTGCTATCTTGTTATTTTAAGTGCTTTAAATTTCATTTGACAGCCTGAAGTATTTTCTGTTTATTCTGCAACAGCTACTATCATAGAATCAGAGTACTCTATTCCCAATTTATTTTTGTGCCAGGATAGACAGGACTTGTTAACAATGGGGACACAAAGCCCATAGGAGGGCTTGGTCTTTGTAGGGTACCTGATCCTAACATGTACCGAAAACTGAGGGTTTAGGGCTGTTGGGTTTTTTTTCTCTTTCATAAACAACTAGAAAATATCATAAAAACAGGTAGTCATAGGTCATTATGTCTTCTTGATTATATATCTAAAAGTAAAGAAATGCCAAATAACTGCACTGTCTTCTGGGATAATGCTCTGTCTTCCATAGTTATTCTGACAGAAGGACTTTGATAATGCCATTAAAGGTCTTTTAGATAGCGTCAAACAAGAGCTGGGTAAACACAAGGCTCATGTCCTTAAACCTCCTACAGGCTGACAAAAATTCACTGGTTTGACTATTTTTTCGTTGGTTTCAGTGGAATTACCATGACTTAGGGCCCACCAAGTTGTCTGTAATGATCCTTAAACTTCCTGGTTTGTCGTCTTTACTCAAAAGCATGCCCAGCTTGGTGCAGCTGCAAATTTGCCTCCAAAATAGTTGGTTAACAATTTATTTTACCACCTTTGAACACAACAAGTTTCTCCTTCCTGAAGGATCTTCCCAGTGATGGAGCTCAGAGATGTCAGAGCTAGCCACAGCTATCAGACAGGACATAGATACCAGTTTTGATCCTAGAATCAGTAATGTGGCCTTGCAATCAAACCAGTCCCAGGGGCCTCTCTGCCTCTCTGTTTGGTGAAACCTTGCCTCTGGAGCAGGAGGAATTCAAAGGGAGAATGTCCTTATTTCTTCTCTATTGCAAGAGGCAAGGGGATAAAAAACTTAGGAAATGCCACTCAGTTGACCACCTATTTAATTTTGTGAGTATTCTGTGCTAGTTGCATGTTGAAGAACAAATTATTCCCTTGAAGAAACTTCTACCTGCTGTTCACAGGAGAGTGTTTAGACTTGCACGCGAGAAACAGGGCATGTTGAAAACGTGGGCAAGTGATACAGTCTTGAAACTGGGAGTATACTGAGCCAGAGGCTCATTTAATACCACCTGTGGCATCATTAATGCTATTATTGATTTGAGACTGTTATGAAGGATGATATTAAGTCTTACTTGTTTGACAAAGCTCATTTTACCAAGTTGCATCTGGGGTAAATATCTGGACATGAATCATCAGATCTGACCAGAATCTCATTTCTAGCCTGACATCAATTATCAACGCACCTTTGATAAAACATCACCTCCTGGGAAAATCAAGCAATAGGTACAAAAGATGCTCTCATCAAAAAACCTGTAATATAAAAAACATTGTACAGAAATAAATACAACAGAACTAAAAGGGAAATTACGTTAGTATGAGTCGCCTGACTGAGTCTATATGTCTGGCACAGATCAGGAGTGTTTCAAAAACTGCCATTATATTTATTCAATGTCAAAACACTTTTTGCAGAAGGAGAAAAACACACCATTATTTTCTCTGTGTAAAATTCCTGGGGCTTCTAGAACTTGGATTTTTAATTATTTCCAGGCCTAGGTTCAGTATCAATATAATCTGTACTAGAGAAACTTTAATTCCTGTTCCCTTACAACACACACTGCTTCCCCATATCTGCTGGCAGTTTATAATCAATCAATCAGAGCTGTCATTGTAAAAAAACAATGTCTAAATGTGCTGGTCATTGTCTTTAAACAATAAAATGCAAACAACTCCATCCCCAAGGCCAAGATATGAAGAACTTGCTTTCAGGGAGTACCACATCAACCCTTTTCCCATTCCTGTTCTTGCACTTACACAGGGCAGATGGTAGAAGAGAAGTCAGAAGATCATTTAATATGGAGAGTCCCTCTCTTTAGTCCTCTGATCTGCTACTTTCTCAGCTAAAAGGTGGTAGATTTTCTCTATATTAATGCAGTGTTCTCTTCTGTGCCCCAAGGAAGCTTAAGATTAGGAAAGAAAGCTTTTTTCCTAGCTTTAGGCTTGTGCACAGGACTGCAGTAAGCAGAGATATCCTTCAGAACAGAGAGCAAAATGTCTGTGATGTTGGGAGACAAAACCTGCAGTGATCTTACTAGGCATGTTTGCTCCCTTTGTGAAGCTACATCTTGAGGGCTGTCAATGAAATGACAATGTCCGTTTCGGTGGATGAGGAACTGGTTGGATGGTCACATCCAGAGGGTAGTGGTCAACGGCTCAATGTCCAGATGGAAATCAGTGACAAGTGGTGTCCTTCAGGTGTCTATACTGGGACCAGTACTCTTTTAATATCTTCATCAATGACATAGTGGGAGTGAGTGCACCCTCAGAAAGTTTGCAGACAACACCAAGCTGAGTGGTGCAGTTGACATGTCTGAGGGACATGATGCCATCCAGAGGGACCTGGACAATGTACATTCACAGCCCAGAAGGCCAGCTGTATCCTGAGCTGCATCAAAAGCAGCATGGCCAGCAGGTCAAGGGAGGTGATTCTGTCCCTCTGCTCTGGTGCATCCCCACCTGGAGTACTGCGTCCAGCTCTGGAGCCCTCAGCACAGGAAAGACATGGACCTGTTGGAGCAGGTCCAGAGGAGGCCACAAAAATGATCAGAGGGATGGAACACCTCTCCTGTAAGGAAAGGCTGAGAGAGTCGGGGTTGTTCAGCTTGGAGAAGAGAAGGCTCTGGGGAGACATTTTTGGAGCCTTCCAGTACTTAAAGGGAGCTTATAAGAAAGATGGAGACAAGACTTTTTAGCAGGACCTGTTGCAACAGGACAAGGGGCAATGGTTTTAAACTAAAAGAGGGTCAATTTAGACCTTCTTTTATTAGATATAAGGAAGAAATGTTTTACAATGAGGGTGGTGAAACACTGGCACAGGTTGCCTAGAGAGGTGGTAGATGCCCCATCCCTGGAAACATCCCAGGTCAGGTTGGACAGGACTCTGAGCAACGTGATCTAGTTGAAGATGTCCCTGCTCACTGCAGAATGATGACCTTTAAAGGTCACTTCCAACCCAAACTATTCTATGATTCTATGAAATGTCACACATCAAATATTTTTAGAGACTTTTTTCCCCAGTAATAACTGTTGGAAGCATCCTTTATCAAAGATTTTCTCTGGACTAGGCTCTCTGTGTAAAGCTGTGAATTTGCAAGCTTTCAGCCCTGTATTTCAAGGGTTACTGGAAGTTCCTTAAACAAGAAAGGAAATCTATATACATGCAGTATAAATGCAGTGGTCATTAGGATAAAAATGTCCACACATGCACACAAAAAAAATCAAAGAAACTTAAAACACCTATCACTTTATTGCATCAGTTCAGAGTAATTTTCCTCAAACTCAACACTAAGATGTGCTGCAAAATTAATACACCACTTTCTTTTGTTTGCAATCCATTTTGATTAAGGTGTTCAAGCCAAACCCCAGAGTTGTTGTGCAGTTCTTGTTTAGGGAGTGCTCTCTCATGGCCCTGGGGCTCTCACCTGAGCATGGGCCATGGGACCCAGTCTGGAACAAAGAGCTCTGGTCATGAACCATGCAGCAAAGGCCATTAGAGCAACTGGGCAAGTGTAACTTGATTGGCCATTGAGAGCTTAATGAGGACTTAATACAGGGCAAAAGGACTTGAAATAAAGTCAGTGAAAAGTGGAAAAGCAGCTTATTGTGGATTAATTCTTCCAATTTTTCAATCGTAATCAAATATTTGACACTTGAAAAATTTTGGCTAGTCCTACTGTTGGTCTAGAAAGGGACTGAGAGCAAGAAGATGGGAGAGCTCCCCAAAATTTTGAAAACCTTTTCCCCCTATTGTTTCAGATGAGGAGAGGAAGAGGATAGGGTAAAGGAAATTGAAAGCCAATGTTTCAAAGATATTTTCTGAATCCCCAAAATGTAAACTAGCTGTTGAAGTCAGTAATTAGACTCCTGTTGTGCTTAGAAAAACTGAAGCACAGGCAAAGTTGTGAGAAGACCTTGTTTCTTTTTTACATACAAGTTTCCTCACTCTCCTCTGAGTTTCTTGCTCCAGGAAGAATTTCTTTTTTGTTGGCAGTAGCTGGTTCTTTACTGGTTGATCTTTCTGTGTTCTTAATATCCGTCATCTCTTTGCCACCTGGTTTGAAGCGTTTCATTATTAAAACAGAGAGCACTATGTATAAGAGGCAGCATCCTGCCCGTAGTCCCGCAATGAGGCCAAGATAAACATTTCTAGGAAAAAAAAAGGTGACAAAATATATTTATATTAATAAAGCTTTCCAGTTCTGAGTGGAACCAAGTAAGATATCAAATACACTTTGGCAAAACCATATATTCTCAGCCAAGTATTGCTCCATATTTTGAGAAGTAACAGAAAGCAATCAATCTCATGATATTTAGCCCCAGACAGGTTCTAATCAGGTCATATACTCCTAGTAGAAATGTCTCCTGTCTGAAGTGTGTTCCCGTTCAGCAGACTATATTTTAGGGCTGGGGCAGGAGGAGGTGCACCAGCTGGGGCTTTTTGCCTGTTGTCCCAGCCTTGCCCCAGCCCCTCAGCGGCAGCACTCAGCACTCCCGGCCACAGCTCTCCATGCACCACCAGTCATTTGGGTCCCCTCTCCAAGTGGATTTTGTCAGGCGTCTTATGCATTAGGAAGCAGAGAAATGCATGATGAGGAAGAG